ATGAATTGGTTTAAAAATAAAAGTTGAGGGACCAATTTAAGTATTTAACCTAAAAAAATATGTTAGTTAAGTCAGCATCACCACTCAATTAATTCTTAAATAGAAAAGTTAAAAGTTAACATTTTTAAGTAAAAAAAATTAAAAATTAATATTCTTATTTTTAAAAAATTAAAAATTGACATTATTATTTAAAAATTGACAAAATTAACATTTTTAAATAAAAAAAAAGTAAAGTTAATATCTTTATTTACATCTTACTCAAATATCATAGATAGATTTTGGATGAATTCTTCTCTTTGTCTCATATTCTAGGGTTTGCCATTTTCTTTTTTCTTTTCTCATTTGACCTTCCAAGATAAATGTGCCCATTAATCTTTTTTTTTTTTTAAATTTAGTTAAGTTAACGAAATACATTAATAAATTGAGGTATCTATATATGTCAATATTTCAGTTAAAAAATTTATTTAACAGGTTAGAATTATCATTAATTAATTTTTAAATAAAAATTTAAAATTAATTCTTTTATTAAAAAATTAAAAAAATTATATTTTAAAATAAAAAAATTATAGAATTGGTATTCTTATTGACACATTTACTCTTAAATGAAGATTAACGCCAAACACGTTGGATTGTTTGGCCGATAGGAGGAGAGGGAGGTGTGGCATGCGGCGGCATGCCCATGATGTGGTGGTAGTTTGTTACTGAATCTTCAGACATAAATGCGTAATTAAATGGCACAAAAAGACTTGGTTGAAAAATGGGATTCATCCATTTCTGATTTTAATGCCATTTTCCCCTCTTTATAGCACTGTATATCTTACGCTTAACAAACCATGGAATTAAATTAAAAGTGGAAAAACGCAGTGAACCACCTAGAAGATGGTAATCTACGTTTTATTAAAGAGGTTCACAATTTGAATAACGTGAAATATAGATAAAATAAATAAAAAAATGAAATGTAATTATATTTTGTTGTTTAATTCAAAAGAAAACTTTCATTTCTAAATTTTATGAACATAAAATTTATCATTGCCAAGTACCAAGAAAAAAATAGGGATCATTCAATATGAATATCAATTTGAAGTTGCATTCAAGTACACGCACAAGCAATGGATGATTCCTATCTTACAGGGTGTTTGGGAGAGCTTAAAATGTAAATTTTCTTTAAACAGATTCTTCTTTTACAAATATAAAAATTTATTAGAGAAAAATTTAAAAATTAACTTTCAAAATAACTTCTTCTTTTTTTTTTTTGTAAGTTCTAAAAAAAACTACACCAGTAAACTTTCTTAAAATTTATTAAAAAGTATCAACGAGGGGTTGGATCAAGTGGCAAGTGGTTTGTTCCAGCTTAAGTAAGGTTTCGAATTCGAAACCTTCTGTACGCAGCAGTCTTCGTTGAGAGACTCACTCACCATTCTGGTGTGTCACAACTGGTCGAGTCCAGAATAATCGGGATAAAACCCTGAATACTGAGCAAAAAACCAAAAAAAATTTACTAAAAAGTTATTTTTAAAATTTTTCTCTAATAAAGTTTTAAATTTGTGAGGGAAGAATTTAGTTAAAAGAACTTATTTATTGCAATAATGGTTTATGTCCTGTTGGCTAAAAACCAGGGGGTCTGAGTAATGGAATCGTACCCAATATACCACCCACATCAACAGACACCTGAAGAGCAAATTTAATGAGTTCTGGAGTCAAAGTTGAGCCTTTCCAAGTGTCAAACCACGGTCCTCCGCCGACCTCTACTGCTGCCATGTTACTCGTAACATCCAAGATTAACTGCATATTTGAAGAGAGTTCAAAAACATTTCAAAATTGATACGTGAAAGGGAAGAGTAATCCGGTAAGGAATAATGTGATAGTTTGCTTGGCAAGAACTAGAAATTTGATTGATGCTAGTAGGCCTTCTCAACAAGTCAACGATGAAATGGGTTCATAATTGTGAGACATATAATATACCTTCCCCTTGTTGCCATCTGATCTTCGATCCCATATTTGCATTCTTAGGTCGCCAAAACAAGTATCTTTGCAAGCTGGAGCAAAGCCAGCTTCTGATGTTGGAGCACGCAATGTTGTACCTGGATCCGTTGCTCTAGCCTCTAACTCAACCTGCTCAGAATCAATAAAGTAGATCTGCTAAACATTTTAAACAAGAGAGAAAGAGGCTTTGTTAATTTCTCAGACTACTTTTTTTTTTTTTTCTTCAGATTTGGTGGGTGAGGGGATTCAACCCCTTCTTCTATGGATGGGGGAATATGCACCTTACCAATTTAGCTACATGGTCAGGTGTATTTCTCAAACTATCTTAAACATTCTGGTTTTGATGTATTAGGCCCACAAGTTAATCAAGACCATGATCAACTTCAAAGATTCTACATCCGAAACTCAGATTTCTGACAGGAGAAAGCACTAGCAGATGGGAGGAAAAATACGAAAACTTACCATATGTGTTTCATTCTCTGCAGCCATGTACCAGTAACCCCATGGGGCAACTTCCCAATTTAGAACACCATTCCATGGCACAAATTCATAGAAAATCCCACCATAGTGCACTTCAATCTGCAGCAGCATGAATCATTCCATATTCATAAATATTCTTGACCAGAGCCAAAACATGGCTGTTCTTATTTAAGGGCAAAATAATGCTGATGCTATTCATAAGTTGCCGTATGGCAATCTCCATTTTCCTTCATACACTTTCAACAGATACAGCCAAATAGTGATGGCAAATGCATAAAAAACATGGGAAAAACCAGGGCTTGACATTTAGTATCGTATTAAAATTCTTGTTAGCATTCTGCAATGGAGCTTAAAAACTTGGCTCATTGGAATGAAATGATGATAAAGAGATCATCTGGCTTTTGTTTTCTTAAAAAGGAAAATTCTGGTGAAGGGTTGCCATTACCATGATTAGATGTTACAAATTTTCCTTCTTTCATATCTTTTTGTATCTTATTTTCCTTCCAACAAAATCCTAGTTGTAGTAAGGAAAGAGTTCTGAAAAGCACCAAAAGAAGCAAAACAGATACAGAAGTTTCTGAAGTATCTACCAATGCAGTTTTCTCAAAGGTTTCCGTTAATCCAGGCAGTTGGCTCCACCCACCAGCTGCAGTCAAGGCAACTTCTCCACTTGCACCTTCAAAGACATTGGATTGTACCTATAGGCTGTAGCAAGAAATTAGTTACTAGAAGGTGCAGGCAAAAAGAGAAAAAGAAAGAGAGCAGTTGAAAGAACCAAAGATAGAAAGCAGTAGCCCACATGACATGAGATTACACGTAGTTTTACCAAAAACAAATGAGCTTGATTTTTGTGGGAAACCCAACACAGCTAAGATGTCTTGGGAGAAGGTTTTTACCAATGAATGAAAATTTGAAAAATTTAGTGACGTCTATGTAACTTCCTTGGGAATTCTAGTTAATCAAATTGAGCAGTATCAAGCATTTTAGCTGAAAATATGCTGAGTTCGAAGAGACAAAACAAATTCCCTGACCAAAAGATTTTAAAAGAGGGTCTTCTTTTATTTGGAAGAGTTAATACCACTAGACGCACTTTTCTTTCTAATAATTTCTCGTCCCTGTAGCAAGATTTGAAGGTCAAAGCATAAGCCAAGATAACAACATAATAAAATTCTGTATTAAATACTAACAGACAAAGATATTGAGGAGGATATGAATAATTTACCCAAAACCATTTTCTAGGAAAGGCTCCAACCCAGTTCTTTTCTGAATATGAAGGAGCATCTTGAAACTCAAACCTCTCACCATCCCACTCTATCCAGACTGCAATTAACAGTTAAAGCCTTAGCAATGTTCTCAACTAGAAATGCATGGTTTCTGAAGTGGAAAAATATCATTTTCCAAGATTATATACTCAACTGAGGTCAGTAAGTATATGGCAAGAAAGGAGAAAATTAAAAGGAAAAGGAAGAATGGTAGATGCAACCAATTGAATCATTTTCATTGCATAATGAGATTGGAAAGTGCCTGTTGAAAGTCCTCTTGCCATGCATATTTGCCAATGGGATTCAAATATGGGAACAGCAGCAAGCCAGCCTGCCGTAGACTTCTGCCTGGACCCGACATTGCCCCATCCATGGATGGGACGAGTCCTATTCTCCCAGCGTGCTGTCTTCACAGTTTCCAAAAATGTTGTCCTACAATTAGAACCTAAATCATGTCAGACTACAGTCAATCAGATAAAGTTCAAGTAAGAAATAGAAATGCAATATATTAAACAAAAAGAGGTGGCAATTGTAATTTGATGCCAAGGAGTTCAAGATATGCCATTTGAGTGCAAACAATTCTAATGGGTTACGCCCGCCACCCTTGAAGGTGGAGAAGGTGGAGCCTTACTTGATACCTGTGGATAGGGCAGTTTGCAAGTATTCCATGAAATTAGTCAGGCCAAAGGACTGGATACCCATGTTATCCCAAAAAAAAAAAAATCTAAACTATGCAAACACTTCTACAACAATATGTGCATCCAGTGATTCTTGATACTTCCTTGATACTTCAGCATATGTATCCAATAATTCAACATACCCAAATTTTGAAAAAAAGAAAAAGTTTCAGGTATAAAAAGGTGTTTTATGTTGATAACACCCCCACAAATGAGCTAGTCCTACCTTTCATGATACAAATAAAAGCTTTAATATGAAAAAGAATAATGAAGGGAAAAGGTATAGGAAGGATTCATGAAATGCATTCAAATTAACCCAATAAATTCCAAATTTCAGAACACTAAAAACCATGCCCTAAGTAAATTTGCAAAGATCACCCACCTGCCATCATCACGCATGAAGCCTTGATGCCAAAGTGGGGTGACTTGAAAGCCTTCCAGCACTTTGCTATTAAATTCCTACAAAGAGAAAACACATGAGATGAAAGCATAAACATTGAAAGATTGAGCCATAGACCAGTAACATCCTTCTCATTCCCTTCATAAATTTCAAAAGTTTGCTCTATATTTCCATAATATTGCCAGAAATTAAGGAGAATAAATCAATGGAGATCTTAGATATTAACAGACAAAATAATATTTCACGAAAATGGTAGACCTTTATTTGAACATAAAGTTTAGTATTTGAGAGAAAATTGAGTGGAAAACCAGTTCTAATAAAAACACAGAAGAGGGCACAATCTAAAAAAGGTTTAGAACTGACCTGAGGAGGAACGTCCTTACTTGGTGGCTGCATGCCTTTCTTGGCTATGAAAGTATTACCCAATGCAAGCTCATGCCTGCCTATGCATTAAAAGAAAGTAATTAGGCTCGGAAGACCAACCTATTAAAAATATTGCCCCAACTATTTTGTAATTAAGTCAACAAGATCTCAATTCAGCAATAACTATAAGCAAGGGAATTACAACAAAACGGTCATATACTGTCATAGCGTAAGTGTCATGAATGACTACATGAACCAAAAGAGAGGACAATCCAAAACAGAGGACAATATTGATGATAATCAATGCAATGCTTTGCTTGTTGAAAATACAGTCAACATCTCATCTAAAAGCATATATAAGCCTTGGTCATTAGATTATAGAGATTAAAGGGTTTGCTAAATTTAGTTTTTAACTTGGATTGGAATCTCTTGGAGCCAGATTGGGAAAGGACAGACATTAAGTTCAATAATGGTTGCAAAAACTTACTTCCCCAAAAGTTCTGGGATTCTTCATAACATTGGCCAATGTACTTGTCATCAGCTCCGAGGATCTGAGTCCCAACTCCTGTAAATCTAGGTCCATACTGAGCCACTTCCAATGGTGTCAATTTTCTTTTGAATGCAGGATTCTCCACGGCATACATGAAGCAAAAGCTCTGCCTCCGTTCTGGAATTGAGACCTCAAAGTACCAACCCTCAAAAAATTTTCGAGTTGTTCCATCAAAATGGTACCTGATTCAGGCATAGTGAGCGAATTATGCTGCAACAAAAAGAAACAAATAACTGCTAAAAACACATAAAGAAGGCAACTGCTAATGCTGTAATCATAAAATACAACCCACTTCATCAATCCAATCCATGGCTTAGGAAAAATTATCCGCTGTGAGGAGTTCGAAGCTCCCAACTTACCGGCGTAGGCACGTAAACGGGGTTGACAGAAACCTTACTCTCCGATTTCGAGGCACTAGAGGGGATAACCGACGACCATAGCTTCAGAGAAACCATTCGAGATCTGGGTTTTGAAGGGGTTAAATGGTTTAGAGGTCGAAACCCAGATTTGTTGAGAAATGGTAAAAGTCGTCGACCAAATAAATGCCTGCATCCATTGAAACCGTCCCAGCAGAAAATCAACTGGGACTGCTGGCATCATTGTCAATATATTTATGTGTTCGACCCACACGCAAGGAGGACGACGGTGTTACACTTGGAAACACAGGTGGATAGGAAACGGAGAAAGACGATAACTTCAGCAGAAAACTAAAAATCCAACCTCGACGGGTCCGCTAACTCTGGAGATTACATCGGAATGAATTTTGTTCAATGATTGATGCACCCCATGTTGATTCATGATGAAGATTTTTGGTAACAAATAGACAATTAGCAGCTTTTATAGATTAAGATTAAAAGCAAAATGATGAATTATTGATACATTGATACATTGATCCATCTCTTTGATGGTAGTGGACACATTTCCTCCACAATTTGTGGAGAAGATCATAATCGTGGGGTGCTGATGAAGAGCAGAGAGTCGATTTTGTTTCTGGCATGTTGAGTTTTGGACTTGAGTGAAGAAACCATACGATTAAATGATGGTTCTGCAGATGAAATGGCAGAAATTGCAGAATTCATTGCTGTGTAGAGGAGGAAGACGAAACCCAATTCAAGATCAGCCTTCATGTATTGAAAATACTGAGGAAGCAGTGAGAAGATGGTGTATACATCGATTACAACAATGGAGAAGACTGTTAAGGAGCAAGCAAGAAGGAGGGTGATTAAGATGAGGAAGATAGCCACGAGAATAACACAGGAAATGAAGGAGCCATGGAGGAAGGCTAAGAGAAGTAGGTCCAAATGGGGTACCATTTTTTTGGATGAACATCCATGGGTTGATGGTGAAAGGTCAATTTGAAGAAGAGAGTCACAATGGAGGAGAATGAAGTGATCTGCACTCATTCTGCCAAGAGAATTGCTTACCGCCGTACCCTTTTGAATTACAACAACTAGAAGAAAGAACATAGTAAATAAAATGTAACATGAAGAAGGAAAGAACAAAACAGAAAGTCACAGAATAGAGAATTGCGTCGACAGCAGGATTCGAACCTGCGCAGGCAGAGCCCAACAGATTTCGAGTCTGTCTCCTTAACCACTCGGACATATCGACGCCTCCTACATCTTGTACCTACCTAAACTAAATAACGTTATGGATTTTCCATGACGAAACCATGTTCGAGAGAGAATGGTTTCACGGTTTCACCACTGAATGGATGATGCTCTAGCACAGTATTAACCACAATGTCATTTCCTGCACCCTAAATGGAGGATGCTATACCCCCAAAACCACCATCAAAAGAGGATTAATTAAAAACTTTCATAGGTGGAAAGGATGCTACAGCTTAATAATACACTAGAATGCTGAGAAGAAAAAGGTAATTAGAATAATCAAAAACTGCTTCCAGTTTTACAAAGGAATGGCTTAATCAAACTCACATGAAGATGGTTTCTGCTTTTCAAATTGACCATACTTTCCCATTTAGTAAGCATAGGCATATGCAGATATATGGAACTTTGAAGGCTATACAGAGATGATTCTTATACTTGGTCTGCAAAATGCTCTAGGGCCTCAACAATGAGTAAAGAATAACAACCAGCCAAATGCTTGGGCACCGGAAGCAGGAATCTGATTGGAGATATCTATTCACCCAATGCTCGGTGATTCTCAGGCTGTCTTTCCTGGAATACAAACATGAAAATAAGATAAAAGAGAAAGTAAAATATAGCATTTGGAAAGTTCATGTAAACATGCATTCAGACGACATTAAAAAATATATATATCCCTCATTCATTCTGATTTGTGATATAAAAAGTTCTTGTACGCCAGAAGGAGAGAATAAAGTTAAAATCAAGCAATTTTAACAGTTATATTAGCCAAATTCGTAAAACCCACTGTGAATGTAAACCAGCTAAGGCACTTTGCTTTTAAGGCATGGTACCCTCAGAACACCAATTATCATTTCTACAATTCTACTTAACTTGGATTAGGTCTTAACTGAGTAATCTAGAAGGAAGGAGGCAGGCTAAAATGCAGCTTTACCATACCATTTAGGTGGCCTGAAGGCTGGAACTATTTGTTCTATTTTTGTTATATACTCTGCTCTGGCTTCGAAGATAACTGAATTTGAAACAAGTTAAGATCACGTCTTAGTAACTAGTATTAATTTCCATGTGGCATCTTAATTTTAGTACCTAAGGCAAAACTCAAGACAAAAGGACACATTGACTACAGAAAAGAAAATAAAACTTACTCATGTAGTCCAGATTTACTCCTCCCATGCCAAAAATTTCATGCCAGCGGTGCAATGATATCTAGATTATTCTTCATGAACCAATTTTGAGCAGGATAGAAGGAATTAGATGATAGAACATCAAGATGCCAAACCATGATTCTTGAGCAGTCCTGCAATAAGCCTTCCATTTGGCTTTCATCTTCCACTACTTGTTCAACAAATGCACTTGCCTGCAAAATTAATCATATGTATATAAATTAAAATTGAAGGGGAAACAAACCCTAAGCAAATTGTCAGAGACATCTCAAGGTGGGTCAGGTTTGGTGTAGTGAGATTAATCACCAAATCACAAAATTGAACATGGGTGATTATGAGTTTTCAAGGGTTGTTGTTCAAAGGACAAAGTCTTGCCCCTTCACATATTAAATCATAAAGAGTATTGCTTGGAGTCACCAAAGACATCTTTTCATTATATTTTCTCCTTCATTTTTGTGAAAAAGGTTTAAATGGCCATTTCTACTGCAGCAAGAAAAATTACAATGAGATGCAAGAATTGTTGAATAGTTTGTAAATGTTTAAGATCCCACATCAAGAAAGTATCGAAACTTAAAGGAGATTATAAAGGCCTATTCTTTATCAATAAATGATTAAGTAAAGTGAAACCCAAGGCAAATTAGGCCTTCACCTTGGGACTTGACTGCCAGAACATCATTAATTTCTTATTATTTTCGGATATTTTATTTTATTTTATTAAATTAAAATTTGGAAAGACATGTTTGAAAATTAGACATTTTGAAAATCAGACATAACTATTGGTAGTCAAAAGGTACCTCTATGAAATGGTATCTTTTTGGAGGGATACATTCCTACAAATAGTGACTTTTTAGGCACTATAAATTCCTATGCAAAGTCAGAGTTCTACATCTAATTCTGAGAGAGTTTTGAGTTTTGTTGTATCCTAGAGGATTTTAAATCCTTAAGGAAAGTGAGATCACACCTCTGAACAATTCTTTTCTTCTGCTATTTCATATTTTCTAACAAGAATGATCAAAGAACTGACAGATACTAACCTGGAAGCTCTCCTTGACTGCATCAAGCAGCCTAATTGGTTCAGGAGTGGGTCTGTGCCATCGCTTTGAATCCCAAAGTATGGTACTGTTGAAGGCAAACCCTGATATTTCTGCATGGAATCTTCGGAATTTTGTATTTAATACATCGGTGTTCCATCCAATGACTTGAGTTCCATTACAAACAGGGCCCTCCAACATAGGCTTTCTTCCATTTCTTGTTTGTTTAGCCACTGTCCATGTACCAAGTCGCCTGCTAATAATATCCAAAGGGAAAGAAATGGATAAGTCATCTGTTGTCTGTGGAAGCATAAATCTGTCTTATAATTCTTATGAAACATAAAAACATTAAGCAGTGCAATGCGCAAAGAAAGGGAAGCTGGTCAAAATTAAAGGTCTCAAGTTAAACCTTGGGGTTGGGCCTCATGAGGAGAAAATGTGGAAATGGGACTCAGATGTAGCAAAAATAGAATGGTAAGCTGGAAAACACGAAAGGTCAAGATGCCTAAGTGGAAGCCATCAATAGTTGAGAATAGTGGTGGAAGGAACGAAGTCCCTACAGAGAAATAATACAACAAATAGAAATTTAAAACCCACCAGTGGCAACCATCCATATGGCAGCACAATAATTATTTGATTTAAAATAGCCACTAACTTGCATTAAATACAACCATGTAAAAGAGATGTTCTTGAAGTAATTTAAAATAGGCAGAAATATGAATTTCTTAGGTTGAAGAATATTTTGATAAAGGACATACCTAATCTGTCTCATTTGCTCAAAAAGATACATAGAATAGACATTTTCTTCATCCGCAAAATAGACAATCCCATCAAGATGGTGGGTTTCAATGTAAGACAGTCCCACATTTCTTTGGTGAACACTTCTGTCTTTTATGTCAGTGACATTTTTCTTGCAAACAAGATGCCTAGACATTACTCCCGCTCTTCTAAGGATGTCAGCGGTTTCCTCCGATTGGGAAGTCATCTCCACAACGATCCACAATAGAGGAGATTGAACAAGTTTTAATGTGTGTGCCAAACGATTTAGATAATAGGCTTGAAAAGGTTGAGCATATGTTGGTGTGACAATTATCAAAAGCTTGTGAAATTTCCCCTCCACGTCTTGAGGAAGTGGCAGATTAGCAAGGGCATCATTGGAAGTCCCAGCTATAAGGGCCTGTTCATGCACTTTCTCCTTCAGTGTGACATTATTTACTGTCACATTTTCCATCACTGATGTCACATTTGCTGCTGAAGTGTCATATGTTTGAAAATTCTCAACATTTGAAGCCACCTCAAAGGAGAAAGCATGATGATTTAACATGAGATTCATTGAATTATCCATGGAAACAAATGGTGCTAGCCCTATGAAGACCCCTACTATGAAACAAATGAAGAAGTGGAAAACAGCCCTTCTCCAAACCTGTCCCTTCTGTTTTGATCTTTCAAGGGGTCTAGATGTTCTAGGCGAGCCGAGAACTAAAGCTTGAGAATCTGGTAAACCAAAAACAGAAGGTAGCAATCCACCCGATGGCGAGTAGTTCTGAGCACACGATGAGGACTTTGACAAGGGAGAAGCAACTGAATACACCTCACCCGTGACTACAGTACCCTGTCGAGGCACTGGCGACATGGTCCTTCTAATTGATGCCATGACAGAAATCTAATTTTCTCTTGCTATCAATATTAGAATTACCACCAAAGAGAGACTAAACAAATTAAAACCGCAATTCTCTAAATCCTAAGCTTCCAACTACATCATGCTACTTGCCTGTCTTCAATTTATTAATAGAGCTTTATCGTCATGACTCATACCCGTATCAATCAAGGAACAGCCACAACTAGTTTCATGTATTCATCTCCAAATGCAATCCAGAAGCAAAACTCCCTCGCAATTTTACCACTTTCCTCTAAATCTACAACGTTAAACTGAAAGTTATTGGTCTAAATATAATGAACTGTCCAAACAACCATCAATACCACAAAATAACTATCCAGAACATTACGTGAAACCAATAAAAACAAACCCGAATCCAACTTGAAAGAGCAGCAGAATTAGCATACTCACCCAGGAAACGGGTTTCAATAGAAAATACTTCCAACCCCTGCACGCACCAGTGAAATGGGGTACGGAATTGCCCTCCGACGGCAAATGGGTGATCGATCTTTCACAACGAGCCGCACCGAAACGCAAGACCCGGAAGCAATCTCCGGTATTTCTCGACGCTTTGAAAGAAAGCACCGACCTTTCAGATCTCCTCCTGCGAAGGTTGATGCTTGCAGGTCAAGATGAGGAGCAAAATGTGAGCTTAGAAAAATGATTTCTTGGAATCTCTTAAATGCTGGAGAATCTACAAAAAAAAAAGAGAGTACTTAAAGTGTAAACAAGTACACACAGCACAGCACACACTCGCCGCCCGTCACAAAGATTCAGACACAAGCAGATTGTGTTTTTCGTGAATCCCGTGAATAGATTTTATCCAAGGAAGTTTTTTTCAAACCGTAATTTTTCTTTTTTATTTTAAAAATTAAAATTATCAAAAACAACTTTAACAACTACGCAGCGGTTTTATTAAAAATATTTTAATAATTTTAATATTTAAAATTATATAAGAAAATACTAATAATATTGAAAAACACATTTATGTTATTTATATATGTATATACTTAAAATAAAAAATGAAAATATGTATTAGGAATGTTACATTATACATTTTTTGTATAATGGTGCTATGGCATGAAGAGTACATATACATTAATTTACTTGTACTTTGCCGAGATTTATTAAGGTTAGGGGTTTGAACTAGTATCATTTATGTTTTTTTGATCTTCTAAACCATGTTTAACCTATGTTTGTTTATTGAAACAAGGCTTGGGAGAACAATGCGGGTGATGTTATTCACATATTAAAGTATTAATGTCTTGGTAATTCTTTTTTCTGTGTAATGTCATGCTAAATTTTGTTAATGAGCAAGTAAAATTTTGATATTTTTCGAAACTCAGGGTCAAAATAAAATAAAAGACATTGAGTAATATATCTTTATATTTGCGAACAACTTAAATAATTTAGTAATAATTTTTTTTTATTAAAATTAAGAGTTATTGAGTTTGAGTCATGTGATATATGAAAAAATTAGAGTAAAAAATAGGAAAAGATTACCTCTTACTATACAATCAACATAAAAAAAAAATCTTTCTATTTAATATGTTGTACATATTTTAATTAAAAAAGATTAAATATCAAAATTTACGTTAAAATTAAAGAATAAATAAATTTAATGATGTAATTACATATAGAATATAAGAAATAATTAAATTAATTATCTTTATATCATATTTTAATAATTAAAATAAAATAAAAAAATATATATTAAATTAAATATATACCAATTATTTTCTTAAAATAAAATAAAGCACTCAAGCCCATAATTTTAACTTGAAACCCAGCTAAGTTCGATTCCCCACTCCCTCATTCCCCACCAATTGCCCTAAGCTCAGAAAAAAATAAAAAATACAATAATTTAGTGCTAGAATGACATTAGGCAACAACTTCGCCTCAAAACAATGAGGACTAAAAGTTAAACTACTTCAGAGACTGATTAAAATAATTTTTAAAAAAATATGTCAAATTAAGTTTACCGAAGATTTTTTTTTAAATTGGGTACAATTTTTTTTTTTAACAGGTTGTCAAGGGTGGACTCAAGCTTGTTCATGGGGAGGGGTATGCATTTTAAGCCGGTAGGTTGTCAGTTGACTCGAAAAATTAAGTATAAATGGAGTACAATTTAAGAGTAAAGAGATGAGAAGTTTTTAACAAAATATTAATATAATTTAAATTTTAATTATTTTAAAATATTAAATACATCTAACAATTAAATCATAAAGTCTTCAGCTAATTAAGTAACCGAAGATAAATCAAAATGCCATTAGGATTCTCATGGAGAAGGCAAAACTACCTCCAAGGAGCTGAAAGTAGATGACAAGCTTGCAGATCTGGAAAAAAAAATGTTAGTAAGATATAAATTTTTTTTTTTTTAAGCTAATGATGTAACTTTTTTGAGTTTAAAAAATTAAGTAATAAATTTTTTATTTTTTTTAAAAATAAAATTACAAAATTTACGTTTCATTTGTTTAATATGTGAAAAATTTACTAAAATGGTCCGCATAACTTTGGAATACTAAATAGAGATAAATGAGCCGCCATATGAGTTACTTTAATAGGATTTTTACTGAACAAATAAAGGAAAAAATAGATAACATGGTGTCATAAGTAATGAATCATTAATGATAAGAGTTGATATACATTTTTTAAGAGGTATGAGGACTAATCTATATAATTCAAAGGATTAGAGAACTTATTTTATTGTTTTTAATTTAAGAGCTCACTTGTTAATTTAGAATAAGTTTAGAGGATTAAAAAGGGAAAAATTGCTGGAGGAAAGGAGCCCTCCAAGGCCGAAGGCCAAATGGACGTGGAAATGTCACGGCCCTTTGATTTCATTTTTAAAGTTTTATGGTGAAATTAATGAAAAATTTTATATTTATTTATTTTAAACTCGAGTGTTATTGATAATGGTGCTGTAACACGGGTTAACTTCGACTTGACATGAGATGCTCAAGTTGCAAAGAAGTTTGCTTTATATCTCATTCTAGTTATTTTTGTGGTGGTTGAGAGGTTTTTCTTAGTTGTTTTAGAGAAAAAGTACTCTAACAAGGAGTTGTGTTGTTGGAAAGATATGTATGTAAACGAAACGAGAGAGATTATAAAAAAGTGGGTTTCATTCATTTTGGGCTAAAAGAATTTGAAGTGGCTCTAGTGGTTGGAGCTCGTATTCATCATAAAAAGGAGCTTGGGTTCAAGTCTCAAGTGTATCAAGTTTATTTTTACCCAAAAAATTCATTGATTTTCGACTAAGCCCAACATATGTTATGTATATGTATCATTTTTTTAATTTTATTTATTTATTGCATTTACTAGAAATGAGTATTTTGAGGCATAGATCAAGACTGAGGTCACTATATCTGCCGGAGCCAACAACACTTAAAAATAGCTAGAGCTGAGAACACCCACAAAGCCAAAGCCAACAACACTCAAATG